ACAGTGGATGACCAAACCCAAGAGTGGCTGACTTTAAGCTCACACTATGGCTCCATGGCTCTGTCTGATCCCCATGCTCACTTTTAAAACCATGTATTTATGACAGGGAACAGTTTAAGAGTTTTTATCTCCATGTATCCCCTACTGTACCCTCAGGGACAAACACATCACTTACACCATTCAGTAGGTCATAAACCAAACTGGTTTAAATACTGTTAGTGGGGGATAATAATTGTCTTGAGTTGGGTGTGGTAGCACCCTGGATCACCCTGTGATCCTGAACCCTGTGAGGCTGAAGCAAGAAGATTACGAGTTGGAGCCCAAGGGGCTGGGGATTTAGCTCAGCGGCATAAGTGCCTGCCTTGCAAGCGCTTGGTCGTGAGTTCGATCCCTGGTACCGGTAAAAAAAAAACAAACAAGTTGGAGCCCAGACTAAGCAGTTTAGTGACTTAGTGAAGGCCTGACTCAGAATGAAAAGCTGTAAAAAGGGGCAAAGATGTAGCTTACTGCAGGGTCTCTGGGTACAACCCCCAATGCTGCCAGTAAATAAAACAAAAACCTTCAGACTGACAAGAAATTTTGTTTTCCAGGTGCCCTTTGGTTGACCATCTTATTTGATGTGGACAATTCTCAATAGCTTTGTCTCTAAAATACAGCAATTATGTACTTCATAGGGAGGATCTGAGGATGAGGAGTCTTTAAATCAGGAGATGATCAGACTTATGTTTTGGAGAGATTATTTATAAGTAGTGATTAAAAGTTTGGTTTCAGATTCTGGTCAGCTTTGGGTCAGTTGCTTGATCTTTCTCTGCCTCAGTTTCCTCATCAGTACACTAGGAAGAATAACAATTCTGAACCATAGGATAGTTATAAAGATTAAATGAGATAATGTACATAAATAACTTAGTAAATGACTAGGTCAAGTTAAGTGCTCAAGATGTGAAATGATGATAATGATAAATTACTAGAGTGAAGAGGAACTGGAGATAGGGAGGTAAAATATAGTTAGGCAGATTTCAGGAAGGACCTGAATGAAGGGGCCATAGATGGAGCAGTAGTTACGAAAGATAGTGAAGAGATAGAATTGTTAGATCTCGGAATGTAATACTAAGGAGAGAGTAAAAATAAGGCAGGCATCAATCAATCAGGGTAACTAAAGGCATAGTGCTATTCTTGGATAACAGAGGAAATACTAGAGGAAGCAGGAGTTTGGGGTCACAAAAGAACACAATGAGGTCAGTTTTTAAGATACTGAGTCCCCTATCATCAGTGTGACCAGGAGGCACTGGGAAGTCTAAAGTGCAGAGAGAAAGGAAGGTTTGAGCAGGGTCTGAGCACTCAGGGCGGGTGCATGGACTCAGAGGACAGAGGGTCCAGCGTGCTGCATAGCCCTGGAGGGGGAGGGTCAAGGATACTGACCGAGCGGGAACTACGGGGGAGACTGTGATTGGAATGAAGGTAGAGAAGTTTCAGCAAGGAAGGAGGGAGCCCTGGGCAGTGTTAGGTCCTTCAAGAGAACTAGGAAATGACCAGCAGTCACCTGAGTTGTGGCTGCTGCCTTCTATAAAGAGAAGCAAACTCTGTCCAAGTGCTAGGCTCTGGGCCGGTGGCCCAAAGGTGAACCAGATGCAGTTCCCACCCTCAGAGTGTCCCCACTGGCAGCTAACAGTGAGAACAGAAAGAAGCTCAACTGTAAAGGTCAGGCTGGGGCATCTGTTATCTAACTGATTACCAGGCTGGGTTTCTTTTTCCTGCCTCATTGTTTCATAGTTGTGTCTCCCCTGGTCAGATAGAAAGACTTGCCAAGAAAAGGGGCCTCCTTTGGTCAACAGCGTGGGAACGGTGGGCCTCCATGGCCATGGCTGGCAAGCCACTTCCCATATGTAGTACAGTATTGTTATTCTTTTCATAGTACTGTCCCCTTTTAGAGACCCAAACCCAGAGAGAATGAAGTATCCATTTGAAGGTACATTTGGTCCTTAATTTCACAACACGCAAGACGTGTGGTACTGGTGGTGGGAGGCAGATGGGCCACTGGTCAAAGTGGGGAAAGGAAGAGTAGAGGCCGCCGGCAACATGTCAGGAGAAGTCAGATAAAGCACTACCAGAGGCAGTTGGTTAGGCTTTCATCAGGCGGGGTAGGAGGAGCAGAAAGGGGGAAGGGAAAGTGGACATTCCTAGCAGAAGGTATAGTGAAAGCAGAGAGGGCGAAGTGTCAAGGCCGGCCAGGCTCAGGGACTGGAAGTAGCTTCCTTGGATTGCACCTCCAAGTTTTAGTCCAGGAGAGATGGAGAGCAGACTGGATTAGAGTTTGGGCCAGATGATAGGGCTCTGAGGCCCCTGGGAGGGTTTGTGCTTTCTTCTGTGGTTTGATGGCTTCTGGGCCGAGCTATCAAAGGCTTTTCAGGAATTCAGGCTTGTCTGTCTCGGCTTCTCCTCCTGGAAGACCAAGGGTCTGAAGTGGCAGCCTGACATTCACTCTCCTTTGCCACGGTTGGAAGTCAGGGCTGCAGCTGATTTCATTGGCCTGTTTTGCATTTATTATAGTGTGGCTTTTATAGTGTGTTAATTGAAATATTTCCAACTGCCAAAAACAATTACACTCAAATTGCCTTGTCTGTTCTTTTATTGCCAGATAAATGTTTTACAGACATATTTACAGGGGGCAGTGGTAACTGGATCTCGCTTTCTATTTAAGGCTGTGGCTTGGGTTGGGATTGGCCCTCCAGTGCTGTGTCAGGGACTAGAAATCTGTTGGACATTGTGATGCTTCCATCCTGTTACCTTAGAGATCAGGGGCTCTTCAAAGGAGTTTTCTGGCTCATGTGGCTTAGCCCCAGAGAAGGTTCCCATCACTGGAAACCTTGGCAACCTGGCAGAAATCTGAAGCCCACTGCCCACCCTGCCAGTAAGAATCCCAGCCCAAGTTGAGCGTGGTGTTTTTCTCTTCTGGAATCACTTTCCTCCCTCCCATGATCCAAGCTACTCTCAAAGAACCTGTCATTGTAAGAACTGTAAGAGCCCATCCAGTGTGGTCTCAGTCCCTCGCTTTGCCTTTGGGACACCAAGATCCGCAGCCTTCAAAATCACACAGGTGGTCAGCTCTACACTTGGGAACAGACACCTCTTTCCACCAGTGTGCCGTTCCTGTCATGACGTGTTCCCTTGACTCACGTTTCTCTGTCTTCTTGGTTCCTCATTCACCCTCTAGCTCTGCTTGTTTTGAAGGTGTGTCTCTTGTATCTCTGGCCTCTGCTGATCCTCTTGATGCTGGATCATCTGAAACACCTATATGTACACTGTGGAACTTTTGTTTGATAGAGCATTTTATAACATGCCTGTTACTGTTTTTCTCTTGTCTTTGTATAGCCGTTTTCTCTTTCTGAAAAACATCTTCTCCACCTAGGCAACACACCCTAGTCTTTGACAAAAAACCACCCTGAAGCATTTCCTAAGGACCTCTGCAGGGTAGGTATGCCCATGCCTTCCTACAGGACCCTGTGCATGTATCTGATGGCTGGCACAGAGCCAGCTTTTAAAAGCACATAGGCTGAGTGGTAAGTATTGATTATATTTATCTGTCTTCCATAGACCCTGGGCAAACTGGGGTAGGGACCTCATCTTTGTCTTTGTTCTACTGCTTAGGTTAGTGCCTGACTGATAAATAGATAGTCTCCAAATATTTACCAAGTTGAATGAAGTATGCTGTTTGTATTAATCAGGTGTTTGTTTCTATAAGAAAATACCGAGGAAGGATACTTGTGAAGAAAACAGGTTTATTTTAGCTTACCATTTGGAGATTCACATCTCCTGCATCAGCTGGGCTGTGGTGAGAACCTAGTGGAAGAAAACAGAGCTCGTTCAGGAGGAAGGATCACATGTTAAACCAGGGAAGGTGGGGGGCTTGCCCTATTTACAACCACCCTCTCTGAAAACTACCACAGGGTCACAGAGATATTCTAATTCCTTTTGAGGGCAGTCTCCAATGACCCAAAGACCTCCCATTAGATCCCACATCTTAAAGGTTCCATCACCTTCTAATACCACCACTCTGGAGGCCAAGCATACCATACATAAACCTTTGGGGCACACTGAAACCATGTCTAAACCATATGCTCTTAGAAACATAAAATTTTGCATGTTATAACTGGAAGTTTATCGTGTCCAATACTATGCTTTTTCCTAATGAGGAAACTGAAGCTTGGAGAGGAAAAGCTTTTCCCAGGCTCACAACGACTAGTAGGTTTTGATGTTATTCACTCACTTATTCTGTGTTTTGAACATCTATGATATTCTGAGGATTGTTCTAGATGCTAGGAATATAGCAGTGTACAAAGCAAATAAAGTAACTGCTCTTAAGGAGTTTGTATTTATTCCAAACAGGGGTTTATGAATATAACCTGCCATTGGAACCCCTTTATTGCCTAGTACAGAGCTGGGCATTGAGAATACGCTTTTAGAGTATTTGTTGAATTAGGTGGAATTAACAAATTCCCAGGACCCCTTCAGTGTCTCTCTCTTGGTCAGAAGCTTTCTTTCTCTCAATAAATATATTCAGAGAGAGAGAAAAGAAAGAAAAGAAAGGAAGGAAGGAAGGAAGGAAGGAAGGAAGGAAGGAAGGAAGGAAGGACGGACCTAGTTCTGGGTCTGGGTGTAGCTCAGGGGTAGAATACTTGCCTAACTTGTGTAAGCCATGGGTTCAGTCTCCAGTGGTGCCAAAAAAGGAAGCAGGAAGATGAGGGGGAAGGGTACGAGCGAGAGGAAGGAAAGGGAGAGGAGGAGAGGAGGAGATGCCCAGTGCTATCACTGGTCACTCTTCTAAGTTAGTCTCTCTGATGCTGAAACAGGGCTGGGGATCCTCCGTGACTGGCTGAAAAGCACAAAATGTCACTGCAAGTGTTTCTGAGCACTGAGAAAGCTCAGTGTCCTTTGTCTATGGAGCTCTACGATCCCATGTATGGTATTCCCATATCGACCTGCCTTCTCTTCTGTTCTTTCAGAGTGTCAGCATGGGCAGAGGAGCCAGAAAGAGAGTAAGTACTGAGATCTCCACAACCCCACAGCAAGGTGCTCCTGGCATTTTCTGTGTTGAAAGTGTTATTTATATACATTTAGCTGATTCAAAACTGGCAAGAAGAATGGTGAAATTGCCCTTAAATCTACCATCCCGGGATAACCTCTTAGTTAAAATGTGAGGTTATATCCTATCAGATATTTCTGCATATAAATCAAAATTGTGTTTTTATTTTTTCAATAAAATCGAACTGTATTGCTTTATGACCTGTTTTTGGATAATATACTTAGAGTATCTTTCACTGCTAGTAAGACTTTTTTTGAGACAGGGGCTCACTAGATAGTGCAGCCTGACCTTGAACTTGTTTATGTAGCCCAGGCTGGCCTTGAACTCACAGCAACTCAGCTTCCAGAGTGCTGGGATTATAGGTGTGTGTCACCATGCCTAGCCTGTAAACATACTTTCGTAGCATCACTTAAAATCACTACATAATATTTTGCTGTATGGTCCACAAGGGTACATCTCATTTGTTCAATCAGGCTCCGTTGTTGGACATTTAAATGTTTTTCCTCTTTTTCACTATCATGATCAATTCTTTTTTTTTTTTTGTCCCTTTTTATCGGTACCAGGGATCGAACTCACGACTGCCTGCTTGCAAGGCAGGCACTTATGCCGCTGAGCTAAATCCCCAGCCCCTACATGATCAATTCTTTAGTGAGCCTTCATATATCTAAATATTTGATCATGGCCTTGATAATTTCCTTAAAATTAATTTATCCACATAGAAATTTGAGTTAATGAAGGAAGGAGGAAGGGGAGAATAAACAGTTATCAGGCTTTACTAAAAATTTTCAAACTGCTCTTTAAAAAGGTTTTATTAATTTATAGATGCCTGATTTTCTACAACCTCACCAAAAGTGGGTAACAGTTTTATTGCTTTATAGCTTGCCAGTTTTATGTTGCAAAAAAAAAATCAGTGTTACATATCTTTAATGACTAGTGAAGATGAAGATTTTAAAAAATACTTCATGAGCGGTTTGGAAAGGTGTTTGACTATTAGGGAAAGCAAAACTTCTAGCACTTGAGGGTTAAAGTAACCAAGTACAAGAAGAGCATTATTTTAAGAGTAACCTTCAGGTGGCAAGTTGGAAGATCAACTATAAATGAGAGTAGAGTTTAAGTAACAGCTTGGCACCCTTTCTGAATATCTAAGGCTCTTTGCATGAAGCTCAGCCCCTTGGCCTGTACCACAGGACCAGGCTGCATTGAGGCAGCAAGGGAGGCCCACTTTTCTTACTCTAACTGCCAGGGCCACAGGCCTTTCCCTCCAGGCTGGTGGTGCTGTGGTCATCAAGGCAATGAGAAGCCTCGCCTGAGCGATTCCTTTGGACCCTGTCATGAGGAGGGTGTTGTGCGTTTTGTATGCTGTGTACGCAGGCGGAGCTTGGCTTCTGGGAGGATTTGTGGATGATGGAGCTTTACTTGCTTGTCAAGGAGAATCTCACATGAGGATTTCGTGCAGGATGACGACTCAGGAACTGAAGTGGGAGAAGGGACAGATGAATGGACACAGTCCAAAGCCACAGTGAGACCCCCTGACCAGCTGGATTTGACCGATGCGGTGAGCAGCCTCCTGTCTTGCCCCTTCTACTCCACTAGCTTCAGAGATGAGCAAGTTCTTCCACAGAACAGATCAGAAGCTTGCATGGAACCTGGGTGTAGCACGCCTGCCAGTACCTTGGCACGTAGAGACTTGGAGGACGTGGGGAAGCTTCACATGTGATCTTTTTGGTATTTCTATCCCTCAGGAATTGAAGGAAGAGTTCACCCGGATTCTGACAGCCAACAACCCACATGCACCCCAGAATATTGTCAGGTACAGCTTCAAAGTAAGTCGTCCCCTCCCTGGCAGGCCCTCTGTATTTTGTTGGAGTCACAGTGGCTTCCCACACTGCAAAAGCCTCTGGTTATTCTAGGAAATCTTTTTAAAACTGAGGTCCTTGGTTAAAATTCTGGAATTTTACATGAAGTTTTCCAGAGATTTTTAAAAATTCCTTTATGAGTCTCCCATTCAATTTTGCTAAATAAGTCTCTTAAGTGTCTTGTAGATTCACTTTTAAAAAGTTTTTAAAGGAATCATTTGGTCAGAAAAATACTTTTAAAACGAGAAAGAAAATACTTTTTCAATATGTAGAACACATGTTTCATTAACATAAGCTGTTGAATCTTCAGAAGCTGGACTTTCCTCCAGCTGGATGCCTGGGTAAAGCACGCATTCCCCCCAGACAGGAATATGCTGGTCCTGCCCCGCAGGCCTCCCCTCCTGAGAGGAAGCCCCAGGAGACTCTGGATGCAACACTTCATAACATCACCATCATGGCCAGGAAGCAGATGTATGAGCTGGCTTTCCGATCATAGGACAATACCTGACTCCCACAGTTTAAAGGAGAAGAGTTTTAACTTCATTGGTGGTTTCAGGGGATTCAATGCACCGGTGACAGGCAATGCAAAACCCTGATGGTGGGCAGGACAGGGTGGAGCCCAGCTCCTCAGCACTTGGCAGCTGAGAGGCAGAGCAAGGGCACAGTGCTAGCCAGGGACAGCGCCCAGGACCCAGAAAGACCCATGCAGACACTGCCTGGCTCCGCCCCAAGCCACAGGGAAGCTTAGTCATCACACCCACTAGGGCCGTCCTTTAGCACCTGAGACACGGACAGGTTCTTACCTGCAGACACGACTGTGGCAGGTCTTTGGGGATTCATAGTGTTTTCAGCCATAGCAAGGTCAGCTCCTGACTGAGGACTCCAGAGGATTTCAGAATACAATCTGAGCTAAAGCAGAAGTGATGTATATGTTTTTTAAATTTCATTTTGGACCTTGAGAGCTTGTTGGGAAGTTCTAGCCAGAGCAGCTGCTCATATAGCGTTGATGAGGAAATGGTTCTCTGTGACCGAGCATGCAGCTTCAGGAGGGACACACATGGAGTGGTGGGGGCAAGGGGACATGGCCTCACCAGTCACATCAGCAGGATCAACGCTGGTGATCAATGGGGTGACAGATGCTGCAGCCAGATTGCCTCACATCCTAAAATTTCATTTTGAAACCTAATTCTTCCATGCTTACTGTCCCAGCATCAGATCCTGTGTTAGATCTTTTACATAGGCTCTCACATAGAGTCCTAGATTTCTTTGATACAGAATTATTATTGTCTTCGTTTTATGGAAAACAAGGTTAAATTAGATAAAGTACAAAAGTCTTACAAATCAAAGAAAGATTTGAAATTGTCTGATTCCAAAGCAACATTACATTGTTTCTTTAAAATGTTTTTAAATATACATGTGCAAAATTTTGAGTAAATAATAGAAACCCATAGTAAAAATTTCAAACGATTTGAACAGCGTTGAAAATAAGACCTCCCACTGTCCTGTGTCTATCTCCCTGGCAACAACAATTTCTTTCTTTGTTCTTTTTGTTTTGTTTTGTTTTTGACACAGGGTCTTGCTCTACAGTTCAGGCTGCCTTTGTAGCCCAGACTGGCCTTGAACTCATAGTGAGCCTCCTGCCTCAGCCTCTTGAATGCTGGGATTATAGGTGTGCACTACCATGCTTGGCTGGTTTTTTAAAAATACATTTATTAAGACATAATTTATGTACCATACAATTTACCCACTTAAAGTATGCAGTTCAGTGGCTTTTGTGTAGTCATAGACTGTACATTATTTGATGTGATCAACTTTAGAATATTTTTATTTCTCTCCAGAGAAATTCCATTCATCCTAACTGTCACCACCCAGTCCTCCATCCTTTCCAGCCCTAGGCGGCACTACACTATTTTCCATTTGTACAGATTTGCCTCTTCTGGACATTTTCTAAGGTGGAAGAATACAATATGTAGTCTTATGAGACTGGCTTCTTTCCCTCAGCATAATATTTTCTATCCATCATATTGCAGTGGGCGTCAATACCTCATTTCTCTTTATTGCCAAATGATATTCTACTGTATGAATATGAATATGCTGCGTTTATTTTCCCATTCATCAGTTGGTGGATGTTTGGATGGTTTCTGCTTTTTTGCTCTTATGGATAATGTGGCTATGAAAATTTGTGTACAAGTCTTGGTGAAAAATTTTCCACACTGCTTTTTATTCATATTGCATTGTCAACCACTCTACAAGAAATTGAGATCAAGGGATCAATCCAGTCATGTGTTTTGAAAAATGTGGTCATGAATTCTGTTTGTGGCCTCCTTTGGACAGCCTGCAGAGGTCGGGGGAAGCTGCCTTGGCCTTCTGGTATAATGCTGGTGTGTGGTACACCCTCGGGCTTCCTACCCTGGTATGGGAAACAGGGTGCCTTTGGGCTCAGTGATCTGCCTCCAGGCCACTTGACTTCAGCTCATTCCTCTTACCCTTATTTTGAGTTAAGTTCTAGCTGGGTAGCACCAGGCTTCCAAGAAAGCTCCTGTCACCCAGTCTCCCAACAGCCTCCACACCTGCCTGGCATTCAGGTCTCCAAAGCTGCTACTCTCCCCTGTGGGGGTGGAAAGGCGAGGCACACGCTTTTGATGTGTGTGTGTAGCTCTCCTCCTTCTGCAGGAGCAATGGTGTGTGAGTTCTGTTCCTAAACTAAACGGGAAGTTCTCAGTGCACGCTGGGGATGGAAGACAGATGTGGTAGGGTAGTGGGCATGTGCAACCCCAGCACTCTGGGAGGCTGAGCCAAGAAGACGGCAAGCTTGAGCCCGACCCAGGTAACTTAGTGACTTACCAAGACCTTGTCTCAAAATTAACTTTTCAAAAAATTTTAACAGGCTAGGTATGTAGCTCAGTGCAAAGACCTTAGATTCAAAACAACAGCGAAAGCTTCTGGGAACAGGATAAACTCTAAAATAACAATTATATGGATAATTTATTCCCATGGGACTCTCTATCATTATAATAGTTACTTTTTTATTGAATATTACTATTTAGCATCTATTATGTTGGGCACTATTAATTTTTCATTATTTTCAGTGCTTACACTATCTTGCAAATTATACATCATTATCTCACTTGACAGATGAAGAAACCAGATCTTAGAGTGGTTATGACAAGATCATGCAAATACTGATAGGCAAACTGAGAATTTGAACCAAATTCCTCCTACCTGCAATGACCATGTTCTTAACCTTGGCACTGTCTTGTCTACTACCATCTCAGTTATTGAGAGAGGAAGGAATTCACAATGATATCTGAAGGCAGAGCTCCCAAAACTGTGTGACAGTGAATATCCCAGCCCTCCAGGGGCAGTTAGGTCTTTTATTTCTGAAGCCCATGGGCTGATTTCCTCTTCCATTTATCTCCGAATGCCTGACAAATATACTTATTTTCCATAATTTAAAAAATACTGGACAGAACTGTTTTAAAGGAAGAAAGAAGCAGGGTGAGGTGGCATGTGCTTGTAATTCCAACACTTGGGAGGCTGAGGCAGGACTATCGCCATGAGTTTGAGGCCAGTAAAGTGAGTTCAAGGCCAGCCTGTACTGCATAGCAAAACCCTGTCTCAAAAAGGCAAAAATAGAATAGAATAGAATAGAATGAGTAAACTAAGGAAGAGATTCTTGGTCTGTAGGCCCATTTTAGTGTTTGCTGAGATGCTGATTAGTGAAGAGGCATCTACAGGAACAGGAATGTGTGCTCTGTGACAGCAGTGAATGTGTCCTTTTTTGCTCAGCTTTGTATCCCAGATATTTAGAAAATACTTCACACATTGTAGCTACTCAAAGTTATTTTTTGAAAAATGAATGAACGAGAATACCTGGCTTGTGAGCCTATTACTGCTTCTCATTTACTGTGTGGTCTGGACAAGTGCCAAACCCAAACCTGCTCTGGGTCTTGGTGGGTGGGGCCTGAGAGACTGGGATTTGGTTGCTGCTGATAATCTGTCCAGCTCTGGTACCCAGCAAGTATAGTAGGGGGCAGGCCATGCCAGGTGCATTGGTGATGATAATGTCTGACTGGCCCGGCATGGGTAGGTAAGTTGGATCACATGGAGTGGATGTGAGAGATGAGGGACCTGTACCAGGAACAGGTGAATGGGGAGTTCCTTTGTCTTAGAAGGGTAAGATGTTTTAAAGCAAATATTAAATGAGAACTTGTGTATATATAAAAATGCTTTCATTTTCCTCCCCTTCTTTAAATGCAGCAAAATTTCAGGTTAATGAGGATTTGGTCAGTTATATTTCCCTAACAGATACAAACTATTTGACCTTAGAAAATGAAGCAGACAGCATTCTGACGTCAGACATTTTGGGGGACCCTGGTCTCACCAGCTGCTCTCTTCTTAGGAAGGGACATATAAACCTATTGGTTTTGTGAACCAGATGGCAGTTCACTTCAGCCAGGTTGGGAACCTGATCCCCAAAGACTCAGATGAAGGACGGAGGCAGCACTACCGTGATGAGTTGGCAGCAGGTAGGGTCCTGGGCCACCCTGAGGCTGCGGGTCTGAGCCTGGTCTCCTTTCTCTGATCCTTTTGAGCAGTTGATCCCGGTCCTATAACTTTGTAGAACCTCTGCTTACATAATGTCCCATAGCTGAATGTCCCAAATAGGCCTGGAAGCTAACTCATGACACATAGGTCAAAAGAACCCCAGAGACACAGAGGCTCCAAAAAAGAGGTGGTGCCTACTAAGGACTGGGAGAATAGGCTTGGGTTTTGAGCTCATTGGCAATATCTTAACAAGGCTCACTGGAGTCGGTGAAGGCAGTGCTTTCAGATGCAGAAATCCTTGAAGAAGACGAAGAGCCCAAGGAAGTGGAGATGGAAGCTGGGAGTCAAACAGAGCTACCTCCAGCCGAGGTACAGATGATGCCACTCTCCATCCCCTTTAGCTCAGCCAAGGACAGGGGCTTTGGTTGGAAGGAAGGAGGCTAAAAATGAAAATTTAGAGCCTGTAGGTTCCAACATGTGTGGCGGCATTCTCTCTTCCACCTCCATCCTAACCCCGGGCCTCCCCTACTCCTGATTTCCCACCACCTCCCTCTCACAACTGATCCTCTGGGTCTTTGTTTCCAGGTAGCTGAAACAGTGATCGAAGAAGAACTGATGACTCCTAAGCAGCCCAAGGAGCGAAAGCTTACTAACCAGTTTAACTTCAGTGACAGAGCTTCCCAGACTCTCAACCACCCTGTCCGGGTAGAGCCACCATAGATCCCTTTGCTCTGAACCTTTGTTCTGTGCATGGTAGAGAAGGTGGGCCTGGACCCACACCTGCCAGCCTCATCTTGGCAGGGGGGACAGGGCAGGCCATAGCTTATCTCCCCACGTACTGAGAGCACATAGTCAAACCCTAACAACCCATCTGAGCAGTTCAGGGGTGACAAGGAGGCCAGATCCTCCAGAACTTCACTGAGAAGCTGAAACTTGAGCTGAGCTTTGGAGAGTAGAAATCAGGACCTGGGGTGAGCAGAGGAAGTCACAGTGTGCTTGTGCGTAAGGAATTGGTTCAGCCACGTTGGTCATCATGATGGTGGAGCAGCTGAGGAGATAGAAGGTTCTCTGACTTGTGAGTATGGAGGATCCTAAGAACCACCCTGAGCACACCTCGAGGGTCTAAGGTTGAAGACTCAGTGCACAGAAGCAGTGTCCTACAGGAGCGAGTCTGCGGAGGCACCAGGTCTGCTGGGTGTTTTTGGCAGCATCGCGCCACCGTTTGCACTTCTTATGCTGACATTGCATAATCTGAGGGATAAAATGGGGAGATGGTTACTTTCCTAGAGGAGCCAGAAACCCCAATATTAGAGAGGAGTCTTCTTAGAATAAAGGGCATGCCAGGGGCCTCGGGAAGTTGACTTCTGTGCCCTGTGTCTGAAAGCAGGTGGTAGATTAGCTTCTTATAGATCTTACCATTCCCTACTTGGCATTTATCTTGGTTAAAACTGACACAATCAAGTGTCACCACTCTTGCTTTATAGTGTAGTCTTTTCTGGTTTTTTTTTTTTTTTTTTTTTTTTTTGATTGAGGATTGACCTCAAGACCTTGTGCTTGCAAGGCAGGTGCTTATTCCACTGAGCTAAATCCTCTGCCTCCAGCTTAGTCTTTTTCTAAAGGGGGCCAAAATGAAAAAAACATAAGCTTTGAACACATCATCCAGTCCTTTGCCCAGGCTACTCTTTACTTCTCCAGCCCTTTCTTTAGTTCCAACCCAAACGCTTCTCCCAGAAGTGCACTGTTGGGTTAAGTGAAAACAAGTGAGAGCCTTCTGTGGATTTCCTGTTGTCATTGTTCTTCAGGATCGAGAATGCCAGATGGAGCCTCCTCCCAGGACAAACTTTTCAGCCACAGCCAATCAGGTAAGATCCTGGGCCAACCTGAAACCTACCACCATCCCCACTCCCATGCATCCTTGTTGCATTCAACAGCAAAGGAGATACTGGCCAGTTAAGGAGTCCTATGGCAGTCTGTCCACTTATCTACCAACTTCCTGTCCATTGTCCTGAGCATCAATCTCTGAACACACATATGAGACAGTAGGTCTCACACAGAGGGCTCTAGACCAGGCATGCCCACAGGACAAGGTGGTCCAAAGTGTAAAGCTTCTTCCAGAACTAGGAGAGAGTGGTTGTTCTTGTGGACTCTCTGGCACTTTTGGCACCTTGTGCCTGACAGTGAAGTGTTAGCTCATTCTGTCCTCCCAGGAACCTGCAGTACTCCTACAGACCCCCTTTCCTCCTCAGGTCCTCTTGGATGCTGTCTTGGTTACTTTTCTCAAATTGTTAAGACAAAATACCTAATGCCCAAAATGAAGGAAGGAAAGGTTTGTTTAGCTTACAGTTTTGGGAGGTCTGATACTCAGCTGGCTCTAAGGCAGAGTGACATAGCTAAGGGACAGACATTCATGGTGGTCACAAACAACAAGAGTGAAAAGGGCAAAAAGGAAAAGCATGCCTACTTCCCTCCCTTATATTGTATGCTAGCTCCCCACCTCTGGGTGGGTGCAGCACTCACACCACCAAACCCAGAACTAGACAATGAACCAATCACAAACACTAGACTCAGCCACCTCCATGACTGCATGAGGCTTTGGGGGAGACACTCAGACACAAACCATAAAAGGTGGCCATGTTAATTTGCACAGGATATGGTGTTAAGAAAATCTGAGCTCGGGCCAGCTTTGCTATTCCTTTTGTTTATTTGTTTAGTTGGTTGTTTTGTGAGACAAGGTCTTTCTGTGTAGTTCAGGCTGGCCCTGAACTCACTATTCAGTGCAGGCTGACCTCAAACTTGCAATGATTCTACAGCCTCAGCCTCCAGAGTGCTGGGATTGCAGGTGTGCACCACCACACCAGGCTGCTGTTTCTACTGTAGGGTCCTGGCCAGACAATGCCTCAGTTTTTTTCTTAATGCCTCCATTTCTGTGATGAGAATGACAAACAGTCCCTCAGCGTTGTTGGAGGACTCTGAATGAGAGAGCAGATGCTGAGTGCTTTGCAGTGTGGAGTTCTAGACAGTGAGTGAATTTTTAAATGTAAGGTGTGCCTATCTGGCCTCCAGGTGGCAGTGACTGCCCAGCTCTGGGGAGCTCTCTGTGTGATCTATGGTATTTGTCCAGCTCGAGATTCTTCCTGATTCCTCTGCTACTTATCCTTTGAGTTCCTATTTTGCAAATCCAGTTGGCAGGGGTTTGCTTACATTTTTTCTCCTTTTAAGGCTGAGGTATGGTCATTAATATAGATAGCTTGAATATAGATAGTGTTTATCCCATCTCCATAGAAAGAGATATTTTTAAAATTTCCTGATTCAGTCTTCTAAATCACATACACAAAGATGTGAGCTAACCTGATATTTTCCCATTTGTTCTGCCTAAAGAGGGTATAGTCTAGAACAATGCTGATCTCCAGCTGAGAACCAGACCCTAAGGTTTAGGGTAGATAAATTCTACGAGCACCTTCATTTCGGTTCCAGAAATGATGGTTAGCAGGGAAGATAGGTGCTGAATGCCTAATTATGATGGAGTGAGCAGGGAATGTCATAGAGGGATGTGGCAAGGCTTACCACACCAAATTCCTGAGATCTGAAGGCTGAAGAGGAGCTGTGGGGAAGGTTGTCCCATGTGGTGACTCTCTTATCTTGCCTTTACCTAGTGGGAGATCTATGATGCCTATGTAGAGGAGCTCAAGAAGCAGGAAAAGACCAAAGAGAAGGAGAAGACAAAGACTCCAGTGGCTAAAAAAACAGGAAAGATGGCCATGAGGAAACTGACATCTATGGAGTCCCAGGTTTGCTGGGGGCACCCTAGGCTTTGTCACAGAATGTCAGAGTGGGCCATGGCTCCTAGGTGTACAGAAGCCTTGCTGTTTGGGAGGGCTTCACAGATGTGTGAAAGGTGGCTGATGTTGAGGTATGAATCATTCTCTCCTTGGGGAAGACATAAGGAGAGCTACACTTACCTCTAGCATTCCACACCTCTCCACATTTTGATCTAGGTCTGGAGGCTAGCAGGGATTAAAGATCACTGAGCTAAGGGGTGATGGGAGACATGGAATTTCTTGGAAGCAACATACACAGTCTAGAAGAGCTAGGGAGTCCATCTAGGATAAGGTGGGATAAGGCATTGCTTCCCTGAAGTTGGGAGGGGATAAATTCTGAGAGTCCCTTTATTTCTGTAGTCAGTCCCTGAGTTTAACTAGGCCTGATATTTAGCATGAATCTTCAAGGCAAGGAACCAGGTCAAAGGTGTCATCACCTCTGATGACATAGAAATGTCATCAATACCAAGTCAATGGATGGTTCTCGACTGGCGTTCCCATGAGTATCCATGTGGGAGTCAATATAAAAGTCATGATGGAAGGCCAGGGATGGAGTTCAGTGGTGTCAGTGCCTGCCTGGCAAACTCAAGGTCATGAGTTTGATCCCTGGTACCAAAAAAAATCATGGATGGAGGGGGCACTTACCAACTGTGGACAACACAGGTTTGGACTCAGTGTGGGAATTACACTAATGCAACTAAAAGGAAGTCACTGTGGAGAGGGTCACCCTGGGGAGTGAAGAAGGGGACACTTGTCCTTTGACAGAGTGACATCTGAATCAGGAGCCAGAGTTCCAGTGTGGAGATCTGGATGCCTGTGACTTGGAATGGAGGAGATTCACAGGAAACTGGGGGCTGGTTTCAGTACCTTGGAGAGCTCCCAAGGCAACTCTGAGGAAGTACTGCTCCCCTCCAGAATAAAAGCCAGAGCAATCAAAGGAAGTTCTGCTTCCTGTGTCTGAGATGTTCTCACTTCCTCTCATTTTTCTGTTCCATAACCCTAATGATGTCACATTTGAGAGGAAGTTCAAGCATCCCCTTATTAGGAAATGTCCCCATTAAGTGTCCTGCAGTCATTGACCAGGCACTCCATGATCGTGGCCACATTGGGTAAAGGAACTCTAAGGTAAAAGATGGAACCTCTGTCCTGAGGTTTGCTCCGTTCAAATCCTTGACTTTCCTGCACAATTCCTTGTAGGTTAGAGCCTTCAAAGGATTCTTTGACCTGGGTCAGTTTCATGTGACGAGCTGGGTTTTCATTATGGGTTCAGGGATGAGATCTATGGTTGAAGAAACTTCAGTTATAACCATTTTAGACCTACAAACTGGAAAAAAACTTCCTGATACTGAGCCTGGAAATTGACCTGAGTCTAAGCCCTGCCAGAGTTGGTGTAAAGTACCCTCAAAGGGGAGGAATTCCCCATCCCCATCTACCACACTGGCCTCTTCCGGTCTGATTGGCATGAAAGGCTGTGACATAGGCAGGTTCCAGACCTCTGGTCTAGGAAGCCTCAGTGGAGGCAGGACACTGGGGAGAATAATGTACATCCACAAGCCAGGAGTGCAACCTCTCCCCGCAAAATTGAGCTCTAACTGGGATTCCAAATACTGGGCCAGACTGTCTGTGGAATGGGGTGGGAGTGGCCTTTACCTCCCCCTTTCCCTAGGCCTAGTGCTGAGGCAGAGTAACAGCACCTTTTTTTCAAAGATTCAGGTCTGTGTAGGGTGGTATAAAACTCAGATGTGTAGCAGGAAAGAAAAGACAATACACTCATGAGACCCTGTGTCATCAGGTGCCTCGATTCTCAGGTTCATTAGTGACCGTTGAATGGAAGCCTGTCTGTTCTAAGGACGGGGTGAGAGTGGGGAAAGGGCCCAGAGGCTACCAGCGCAATTGGAACCAATAAAGAGAGGTGGATGCTCCAGGAGCACAGAATCAGGAATGAGGGAGGTGAGTGCCTACTGTACTTTCCTCAAAGCATGCCTGGAGCTCTGAGGCTTCTCAATCCAGAAGACGGTGGCCAGGATGAGAGGGGCCTGGCTCCCTATGGGGGCAAGAGCGTAAGCCTGGTCTCAACAACCTGAGTTTGCATCATGGTGTTGCCATTTGTTACCTAGAGTTCTCTGAAACTCCAGTTTTCTCATCTGAAAAGCCTTCTGAATGATACTTACTCCACAAAATTACTGTGATCAGAAGTGATTTGTGTATCGCCCCTAACTTGGCTCTTGCCTGCCACTGACCAACAGATGGTGGTTCCTGTTGATGTGTGTGCCACATTGATAATGTCTGAGACACCACGTTAGAAAATGCTGGCCTGAGGCACTATCGGCCACATCTGCTACATCAGAGGGGCTATCGGACATGCATCATTCCTCGTGGCAAGATGACAGATACAGGACCATAGATAGAAGGCTTAGGGAGACAGATTTTAGCTACTGGGCCATCTAATGACAGAAAGTACTATTGCACGGGGAGACAACCAGACTTTCCAGGCAACTGCTGAAGGAAGAGAACTGTGCTTTGGGTAGGGAGCAGGTAAAGTTGCTGGAAGCATATGAATTTTGAGGATTATGATTATAAGACTCCAGCCTGGTGTGGTGGCTCATGCCTGTAATCCCAGCCCTCAGGAGGCTGAGGCAGGAGGATCGCTGTGAGTTCGAGACCAGCCTGGGCTACAAAGTGAGCTCAAGGCCAGCCTGAACTGCATAGAAAGACCCTGTCTCAAAACAAACAAACAAACAAACAAAAAACGATTATAAGACTCCAATGTCTGTCCTTCCTGGTCTATTTTCTGATTTAAATTTGGAGCTAGTTAGAAGGGTGGCAAAAGGCCATCAAAGGAGAGTTCTCCAGATGCAACTTTATAGGCCTCCACTTTGCCACATATGATAGCACACACCTATAATTCCAGCACTCAAGAGGCTGAGGCAGGAGGATTGCCACAAGTTCCAGGCCAGCCTGGGCTACACAGTGAGTTAAAGGCCAGCTCTAAAGTACATAGCGAGGTTCTGTCTCAAAACTAAACAGAAAAGAAAGTCCCCACTGTGCTTCGTTTCCTCTGCTGCTACACTTCTACCCTCATTACCAGAAACCAAGTCAAATACTAACATGTTCCTAGTTGCATTTAATTCTCACCATAGCCCTACAATCACCCTCACTTCTCATAAGAATTCTGCAACTCAGATGAGTTGAGTAAATTACTGAAGGGCACCAATCCGGTTCCCAGCTGCTCAGACAGGATAGAAGTGTGGTGGCTCCAGAACCTGCTCTCTTACCACTGCTCCCACTACCACTCCCCAGGACCATGGGTCTGGCCCTCGACACCTGCTGAAGGGCTGCCCCTGCCCCATCAGCCTCGTGCCCCCAGATTCTTTGCTGTCCTATTAACGGCCAAGTGTACATTGTAGATCTATAGAATTTACATTGGTTTACATTAACTGACATTACAGTACAATGGTTTATATTGTATATTTACAGAATTTCACCCCAGATTACTGCTTCTTCATCAAAATGAGTCATTTTTCCTGATAGGAAACTTCCTGCTCTCTTAGTCTGCACAGGGAACAGGGCCCTGGGATTAGGTGTCTCAGTTCTGCCTCTTACTCTTCTGCAAGCATACCTCCCTGCTCTCTGGGCCTCAATGACTTCCTTAACCTGTGACTAAACAACCAAACTGGATCAAGAGATCTCTGAAGCCTTTAATGGAAGTCTGTTATTTCCTGAGCTGATGAAAACTTTCTGTCCCACCAAAGAAGCCTCCTGTCTGTCATTGTCTGCTGGCCCCTCCACTACTCTGCCTCGGTTTTTTCTATACCTTATCTTGTACTCATATCTTTTCTCAGACAAATGCAGAATGGGAAGCAGGCTATGTCCAGGGGCCAGATCAAGTGGCTTAGTTGTCTGAGAAGGAAGGGTTTCCGGAAGGTGGTGGTACCCTAAACTGGACCTTGAGCCAGGCAGGGATACAATCACAGAGCGTGACAGAGAAGCATTGTTGAACCAATTGCAAGTCCAAGGTTCATCTCAGGGTATACCTTGCCAGGTGCAGGCTTATGAGGACACGTGGCTTCTATATCTCCACAGAGTGATGATATCACCAAAGTGTCCCAAGCTGCTAAAATTGTGGAGCGGATGGTCAACCAGAATACATACGATGATGTTGCTCAAGGTAAGACTTAAGGTGACAGTGCTTTATTAAAAGCTCATATTTGAGTGTCTCACACTGTATCCTATAGACACAAGAGGAGAACATGTCCCTTCTGTCTCTCTGGATGTCACTAAGAAGATGAGACATTGCAAATCAACCATGAACAATGGTCTAGCAGAGGACAGTGGTTCTCTGAAGTGAGGAGATCACACAGTGGTGTTGAAAGCACCTGTACATGAGTGATACCATGTTATCTTCCTAACGATCCCAGGAAGCAGCAGAGCAGAGAGGATCACCCCTGATTTGCACACATGGCAGCTAAGGCCAGGGCTACCTGGCTGATAAGTGTCGGGAAGGACCCAAATCTAGTTCTTAACTTCTGCACTGTGTGTTCTGTTCTCCACTCTGTCAGCTTGGGGACGCCATAAAGCTGGAATGTATGAGACAGGTATTGCTCTGGCATTCCTCAAGAAGTGGAACTAGAAGATAGAAGATGAGTGAGAGTAGTCAAGGAAAGCTTCAGGACCAGCAGAGCTAGCTCTGAGGGTGTTGAGGGCTGGTAAGAGTTCATGCTGAAGAGGGATCTGAGCTCTCTCAGAGACACAGAATCTGCCAGGCAGGGACACAGCCAGTGAGAACAAGGCTGAAGGAAGCTGTGATTGGACAGAACATGGGGACAGAGGTGAAGGCAGCGAACGGAATGAGGCTTGCCACAGTTTACCACCCCGCCTCCTGGGGCACTCCTGGGGCACAAGGAAAGAGGGACACTTACAACAGTGAAAGACCAGCACTGCCTTGTGCTGTACAGTGTCCGTGTACTGCATTATTTTATCTTTTCAGGGTGAATACCCTGAGAAATAAATCCCACTATTATTTCCACTCTCTAGATGAAAAACTCAGGTGGGACACTACAAACAGTGGGAGCCGTGAGTGATGGGGTCAGAACTCAACACAGGCCGCTCAGATCCATCACCTAATCACTTCTCCGCAAGGCTGCAGAGCCACTGAGCTGGAAGGGATGTTTCAATAAACACTCTCAGTAGATCTGGTGATTAATTAGTGATGAGGCGAAGAAAGACACTGATTCAGAAACACTTAAATCCTGGGGCCTGGGAAATTCTGGTGTCTTTGACAGTGCCAGGCAAGTGGAGTCCTTCCCATGGCATGAACAGCACATTCCCAAGTGGCTTGTATTTCCCTAAGAGGCTGTGCATTTATTTGGAGCAGCTGCCTCCCCAGAGCTGGCAGCTCCTTGTTGCTGGCTGGCCTCCTCTGCTGACAGCCGAGGGCTCCTTGGTGACTTGATGCTCACTGCTCACCCATGGGACACAGAAACTAAGGCTGCCAAGACCAGCAGCCTAAACAAGCCCCCTCGTTATCATTCAGGCTGGAAACCGACCTTGAGTGCTTTTCAAAGCTGTCAAAGTACAGAGCAGCTGTGAATGAATTTGTCACTCACACAGCTTGGCTTCCTGAAATGCAGCTCTGCAAGTGGCCCACCAAAGGGCTGCAAACTTGATTAATACCCAGGGGGAAACTGGCCACTTTCATTTATAAGAACACAATCACATTTTAAAAATGCATTGAACTTTGATTTTTGTTAATTGCATATTTTTTTTTTCTTTTGGGAAGTGTAATCATGAAGGCAAAGTGAGAACAGAGAAGTGTTACCAATTAATCTCTTCTCTAACATGAGGTAATTTCACAGTTACCCCAAGCCCAGGAATCTCTGAAGTGATCAAAGATCATGCCTTTCTGCCCACTCAAATCTTTTTTGTTCTGAGACTTTTTTGTATGTGTCTTTTTGAGACAGAGTTTCACTATGCAATTCAGGCTGGCCTTGAGCTCACTTTGTAGCACAGATGGCCTTGAACCTCACAGCAGTTTTTCCTGCATAAGCCTCTTGGGTGCTGGGATCACTGGTGTGCGCCACCACGCTCAGGTGCTGGGGGACATTTTTGAGGCTCAAATGCTATCCCACGTCCTCAGAGTGTAGGGCATTGTGAGTGAGGCTAGGGCAATGCCACGGCTTGTCTGATCAATTTGGATAAGAGGGTTCATTTTCTAACTATCATCTTTATTTGGAAAGAAGACCAAGAACTGTTTCACTTTTGTGGCTTTAATTTCTCAGCATTCTTTGATTGTCACTAAATGTTCACTGTGTGGTTGTCCCTGTGCTAAGTGCTGGCAACCCAGAGAAGAATGTAAGGAGTGTGTGGTTGGGAAGATAGCCAAAGGACAGTGTGACAGATGTTCCATTAGAAAAGAGGCAGGGCTGGAGTAGAGGAAGAATTCAGACTCAGAACAAGATGACATAGTGTTCTGAGCCTGCAGTCCCAGCCACTGAGAGGCTGAGGTGGGAGAAGAGCTTGATCCCAGGAGTTTGAAACCAGTCCAGACAACATAGTGAGACTCTTATTTTAAAAAATGAAATGAAATTAGAAAGAAAGAAAGGGAAGGGCTGGGGATTTAGCTCCACAACATAAGTGCTTGCCTGGCAAGTGTGAGGTTGTAAGTTCGATCCGTGGCACCAAAAAAAAAAAAAAAAAAAAAAAAAAAAAAAAAAAAGAGTGAAAGAAAGAAAGAAGTAAAGAGGGGCTGGGGATTTAGCTCAGCGGCATAAGCACCTGCCTTGCAAGCAGGCAGCCTTGAGTTCAATCCCCGGTACTGATAAAAAAGAAAAAGAAAACAAAAACAAAAAAAAACAAAAAAAGAAGTGACTATGTTAAAAGATAACTGGGGGGAAAAAAAAGATAACGGGGAAAATAGGGGAAACGATGGAAAGAGATCAGTCAGGGATTCCCCAGGTTGCTGTTTTAGGCAGTGGGGAGACGGGGCTTCTACCCTGCTTAGGTAAAAGGGAAGGAAAGACAGTTTGAGAGCAGATGGAGCTGAGTGTGGGGATCCATGGAGGATCCAAGGCAGATTCGTTACAGTGAATCCTGGCAATAACAGAGACGGGCTGCATTGGAGGACTAGGAGGCAGAGTGAACAGATTTATTAAGCAGCCTCCAGCAGCAGAGCCCTTGGAACTTGGTGCCTCCAAGCTGAGCCTTCGGAAGTGCTGGGGAAACTCATGGGGACAAGCAGGACCCCTGGCTGCTGTGTTGTCACTGGCTCCAACAGCAGCAACGACAGTAACACTAGCTAACGCTCAAGAAGTTTACCGCGGGCGCTCTTTCCAGCTACTGTTCATATATTAACTCCATGCTGTTCCTCACAGCACTGTGAGATAATTACCTTTGTCACTCCCTGCCCAAAACACACAGAAGTGCATCAGACTGCCCGTGGAGACGCGGACAGGGGATGGTGGGCTGGGTTTGACTCAGAATGGTAGTCTGAGGGCGGACTCTGCCCACCTTTAAGATTTTAAGTACTATGAAGATGCGGCTGACGAATACCGGGACCAGGAAGGGACACTGCTGCCACTCTGGAAGTTCCAAAATGACAAGGCCAAGCGCCTGGCCGTCACCGCCCTCTGCTGGTAAGTGTAGACATTGCAGCAGACCCGGAGCCCCCGAAACGCTCACTGCGTGCTTAGTCCCGGGAAGAAGCTTCTCTGGCTCTTAAACCACCTTGAGCTTAACCCGTGGAAGCATCACAAGAAGAGAACTGAGGTTCCTGTGAGACTGCAGGACGGTCCAAGGTCTCCAATTAATTGGTAGGAGATGTGTGCGGTGTAGTTAGGAACCAGTGGCCATGGGAAGGCTTGGTGTCCATGGCAGGGCTGTGTTCATTTCCACTGCCAACGGGCTCCTATTTCTTTTGCAGGAACCCCAAGTACAACGATCTGTTTGCAGTAGGACATGGCTCCTGTAAGTGATCTGGCTGTCTATGCATCTGCTCCTGCGAACGGCAAATACTAAGTACCTACCCTGCGCAGATTTCCCTCCCAGGTTTAAGAATACTAAGATAACCAGGAGGTCTCTGCCGCGGGTGGGGTGGGGTACAGGGATGCAGCTCACACTCTAGCCGAGAATGCCCAGGATCAGACGGGCAAGGGGTGCCAGCGTCGGGGGATGTGTAGAGCTGAACATGTTGGATGAGCCTCAGGAAGGGGAAAACTCTGGCAGAGGAGGGGACAGCACTGCTAAATGTGGAGGCCTGAGAAATGTGGAAGGAGGAGCCCAGCCCTCAAAGGCCGTGGTGGTTATCCCCGAAGCTTGTGTGTCTCCTGAGAGAAAACTGTCAGAGGAATTGAAGACAAGTCCATCCCCCCAGGGAAAAACTGCCCATGGCGGACGGGCTGGGAGACCTGGTGCTGGCTTCCTAGGGGAGAGGGAACCACTGGAACCACAGTGTGGGCTAAGGAGAGGCCCTCGCCCTGCCTCCTCCTCCTCCGGCCTTCCTGCCCAGGCCCTGGGGAGGGCACAGGACTGAGTGCTGTGCCCTGGGAGTCCACTGTTGTTCCGGTGTCCCTGCTCTGCCAGGGCCACAGGAGGCAGGAGGCAGCAGGCATGGCAACCGTGTCTGGGCAGCTTGCGTTTCCTTCTTGTTCTGTGGTCTGAGCAGAAGCCCCTGCCACTCTGCTGGTCCAGATGTCCCCCCAGACAGGGCCCTCACTTCATGCTCGGCGCAGTCCCAGTGCTCTCTGCACGTTCTCTGGCTGGGAGGATCAGCTTCTTGGAACAGAAAACCCTCTCCATACTCTAAGCTGCTGCTGCTGGCGGGCGTACAAGCTCCTGGCTGCTGTCCCTCAGATCGCCAGTCCACCCATTCTTTCACCCAGGAGAGGGCGGGAGCCGGTGCTTGTCATTCCTCTCAGGGAGGAGACCTTGGAGCTCCTCCCAGACTTGGGTGAGGATGCTCTAAATGCCTGCTTTGTGTCCCCACTCCTGAGGGTGGGCTGCTGCCAAATGGGAAGTGCCCTCCCTCTCTGGCAAGGAACTCTAGCACATTCCTTGCCCTCCGCCACAGCTACTGGGCCTGCAACAGGGCCTGGGGGTTGGGTGGGCCTCCCAGGGGTGGGTGTTGACCTTGGCTGCCAGGCTGCTCTCAACCTAGGCTCTCTGCCAAGGGCTGAAGTGAGGTGGCTTCCCAAAAGGCAGAAAGAGAAACTCCATGAGCCTCTAGCCCCAGAGTTTAAGCAGCACCCTCTGTTTGGGGTTGTGTTCACCCAGAGTTGAGCAGTGTCCACTGTTTGGAGTTGTGTGGAGGCTGTCCCAGGGGCAGCCCCAGGAGCAGCAGAAAAGGGTGATTTCCCACCAATAGATAGGCCAAAGCCTAACAGGCCCAGTAGCCCTTTGGGAAGGCCCTCACATGGGAGGATGTTTTTGTGCTTCCTTGATCCCTTGAGCCGCCTCCCTGTGCCCAAGTGGCACCACAGTCAGCTCTGGACCTTCCCCTGGGGGAGCGTCTCTTGTTATCCAAACCCCTGAGCTTCATTCTCCTCACTGTGACATGGGAGGCTGACAACCTGTCATCCCAGGGTCACTGTGAAGTGCACATGAGAGAAAAGAAGTGAACATACACTGCAGGCTGTGGGAGCCACCTGCGTGAAGGCCAATCATTGCTGATTTATCTGTCATGCTTTCTCCTGGCTTCCCTGCAGTACCCTCAGCAGACCTGAGCAGATTAAGTATACTGGAGGACAGAGAGGAGTCTCTCTTAGACAGCAGGTCCAGTGACAGGGGCAGTGGTGTTCGTTGCTATCCCTGGCACAGGAGTTGTTGGCCAGCTGTCAGATGAGCATCTGTTACAGAGCCTTACGCGTTGTGGTAGAATCTAAGAGGCCTGAGCGGAGTGAGCCTAGGCTGGCTCACATGTTTACTCTGAGGTGGCCTCTGGGAGACCCGTGCTCTTGGATGCCCAACTCCCTTTATGGAAGAAAGAGCACAAAGCTGAGGTAGGCCAAGGGCACCCCGGTTGCTGGCTGAGGTCACTGTGAGAAGCAGCTGGTCTCCTCAGCATCCGTCACAGTCTTTGGAAGCTCCCAAATACCAACCCCTTCTAGCTAGTTTGCCTCATGAGGACAAAACTGAAATCAGGATTTGGGTTTGTTGCTGGGTTTGATCCTGATAAGCTCAGCTCAGGTCTCCTAAACCTCCTTTTGCCTGAAATTGTCAGATGTTTATTCTGTGACCCAGCCACATAAAACTTTGGTAGGTAGACATACACCCTAAGTGGAAGACTGACACCTGTCCCCATCTTCGAGACGGGATAGGTGGGCTAGAGTCAGGTGAAGAGCAAGTTAGTAGGAAAAAGTGAGAGGAGAAAAAGACAGGAACACCCACCCCTCATGCCCTATGGGGCTCCCAGGCTCTTGCACATTGAGCTGATTAAAGGGCAGGGACTGGACTTTTCCACAGGGTGAGGCTCCGTGTTCCCAGAAGAATGGAGAAAGAGGCCACCAGCAGGTCACAGCAGGTGGAGGAACAGTGGAGGCGAAGGGAGCGAGGCCAGGGGAGATTGCCTCGATGCTGCGGGATGCAGTTATGTCAGCCTCCTGCAAGGCTGTGCGCAGCTCCTGGCTAGCCCACAGCAGGGAGACAGGGACTCCGCGTGGCCTGTGGGCAAGAAGGGCAGACCAGATCCTAGAAAGTCTGTACTGCCCAAGGCATCACACAGGAAGCTTCCCCAGGGTCTCATGCTGTAAGGGCAGGGGGTCATCGTGCCCTGTCCCAGACTTCCTCTGGGGACAGCACCTCAAAAGGGGCCAATGGCAGGCTCCAGCCCCAGCACTAAACCCATTTCTGTTCTGTCCCACTGTGTCCTGGCCTGTCCCTGGGCCTACCCAGGCCAGAGACACACTTTTAGGGACTTAAATCTTTCCTGATCATTTATTTGTCAGCTTCACTAATTAAGCAGTGTTGATTTCATTTACTGAAAATGGAAATTCATCCACCTCATTTCTCCCTGTTCATCCTCCACACACAAAATCCATCATTCCTCAGCTGCAGGCTGTGTGAAATTTACAGGACTAATTATGTTGTCAGGTCTCTTTGTAAATACAGTCCATAACGGCCACTGCGCTCCCTGAGTTGTAGTGCAAGGGCATTCCTGTTGTTAGTTTAATTACTGGTTAGTTATTTAGGTTCTCAAATGTTTGCCTCATTTTTCCTAAATCAAATTAAATGTCCTGTTTGATGTATTCTGTCTCTAAGGCCTTGCTCTTATTTCCCACACTGGGCGAACCTGACTCCACATCCAATGAGAATGCTCCGAAGAGCCTCTGCCCCTGGAGCCTGAACCCAGCCAGGCATCCTGGGCTATGAGCCATGCTGAGGTTTGGAATTCTCTAGTGACCAGCCTCCTTTCTCAGTCCAGCATTTGCTGGTCCCCTGCCCCAGGAGTCTGTGAAAATCCTAACACAGGGGCATTTCTGTTCCTGGAATCCAAGGGGACAGTGCTGGGGTGGGAATCTCACCATTGTCACCAGAAGGCCTGAGGATCACTGAACCCATCCCCTGACAACCACAGGTACTGCATCCCAGAAAAAAGGGCCATTATAAGAACCTGTTTTTCCAGTTCCTAAAAGCAGAGTTTTGGTCTTCTTTCCTGAATACCTGTCAGTTCAATTTCTGATGCTACTGTGTGTAACAAATGACCACAAACAGGGCTGAAGCCACACAAATTTATATCTTACAGTTCTAAAGGTAAAAAGCTCCAGATGGATTTCACTGGTCTGAAATCAGGCATCAGTGGGACCGTGTCCCTTCTGGAGGCTCGTGGGGAGCATCTGTTTTCTTCTCTTTTCTAGATTCTAGAGGCGCCCCACATCCCATTGCTCATGGCCTTCTGCCAGCCACCAACAGCGTCACTCTGACATCTGCTTCTTCTGTCACATTTCATTCTCTCTCTCTAGCCTCCCTCTTTCCCTATAAGAGCCCTTGTAATTACACCAGATAATCCAAGGTAATCTCAAGATCCTTAATTTAATCTTATCTGCAAAGTCCCTTTTGCCATGCAGAGTGACATATTTATAGGTTCTGGACATTTGGGGGGCATTATTTTGCTTACCACACACGCCCTCCAAGGGCCTTTGCATGGCTTAATAAGGGGGTCATCAAACAACTGCTGCCTTGGAGCCAGTCCTGGGCTGGCCCCATTAGATTGCCATAGTACAAGAGGAAGCCTGCTGTCCAAGGCTGGCACCGTAACCTTATCTCTGCAGTTAGCATCTACTTCCTCCTCACCAGGGACCTGGCTTTAGCCTCCTGCCCCCGACATCTTCTGCCTATCTTGCTCTCCTTGAATCCTGGGTAGGAGCCCAGGGTTTTCCTGATAGTCAGAATATTCCAGAGTATCCACCCATGATCTAGAGCTGTTACCAGCTGGCCAGAGGTAGGGTGGTGGGCTTGTGGTTCCCACTGACAGTTCCCTGTTCAGGAAGATGTTGCTTGATGTTCTGCAGTGGGCACTGTTCTGCCAGGGACCTAGTGGGCAAAGCTGATGTACTTTGGTCTACGGTGAATTAAGACATATATGTAGGGACTGGGGATGTAGCATGTGTGAGCCCTTGAGTTCAATCCCTGGCACTACAGAAAGAAAAGGACAGTCATGCCGACACACACACAAACTCCCTTGCCCAATATTAGGCATGTTAGATTTTTTGCCACATTAGATTTTATCTAACTGAGGTTGTTTTTTTTTTTAATTTTATTTAAGGAGAAAAAGAAAAAAACACAGAAAAAGGGTACAAGTCATACAGAATTTCAGAAAAAACAAAGTAGGAAATCACTAGTTAATAGATTACACACTGTTATCTTAGAAATACTTATTCAAGTTACAAAATTAAAGCATATAAAGTGGACTTTCAAACAGTGAGACTGCAAACAGTTCTGTTCAATGATCCAACAAAACTCAGTAATATGGT